GTTATTTATCTTTTTTTTAATGTTCTATATATTTACTGAGGTGAATAATAATAATAAAAGTCAGAGTTGGTCTTTAGAGCCTGGTATCCTCCACGGTTTAGACTATTTCTGAATAATCTCGTCTCCCACAGAACTTGATGAAATGGAGAGGACGCCACTAAACAATTTACTGAAGCTTTTCTGGAGCAGAGGCACCTTTTATGGAGCTTTGGCGCCCTCTTTTGGAAAAACATCACACCTTTTTGTTCTTCTCAAGATGCTGAGATTTTTGTTCTGAGAAAAAAAGAAAAATGTCTGTCACAGGTGAGAATTTAGATTCCAATATAAATATTGGCAAAAAGATTTTGTTGTTTGAATCTTACTGATGACCCACACTGGCTATTTTTCTCCAAGACTAAAACCAGAAATCTGTCTTGAAATGTCAATACTTTAATAACTAAATGTTTTTTAAAACTCCAAAAGGTAAAATAAATGCAAGATTACACAGAAAATGTGGTAGATGTAAAACATCTTTATATACTCTTATGTACAAGTTGTATCATCGGGCGGGGGGGCAACACTGGTTGTAAGTAAACCTTCAAGTCAACCGTCTGTTAAGAGTCAGTCAGGGTCATACTCCAGATGGAGATGGGACTCTTTATGCTGAACGGTTTTCCTCCCAGCACCAGCAGCATGTCAGGCAGATTCTTGGAAATGTCCTGGTCGTCTGAGCAGCTCCACTGCTTCTTAAAAGCTCTGTTCTCAAACGTCAGACAGTTCTTCTCTGTGTCAAAGATGGTCTCTGAAGAACAAAGACCTTTGCTGAATGTCTTCATTTCTATGTCTGATTGGGAAACGGGGAAGCATTTATTTTTAAAATGTCGCGGTTTAGCATCCTGCTGTGACGACAGAGCGGCCTGGACGCCATCGGACTCGTAGCTGCGACCCAGTCCGGTGCAGCAGTGGTGAATCCTCTGTGGGGCGTCGCTGTGTGGGAGGGATGCCACCTGGCTCCAGCTCTGAGAGGGGAAGCTGTACCTCCACAGGCTGTTGTTTGGTGATTTCTGGCTCTCACCGCCTCCGAAAAGCAGCATACTGTCCCTGTAGGTCACAGCCGCGTGGCCCATCAGCCGAGGGGGGCCCTGCCTGCAGAACATGAGCAGACCAGCTGTTAGTTGGAGAAGAAACAGCACCTCTGTTACATCTATACTGTAACCTCTGGCCTTTAGGGGGGGGATAGACTTCGAGTTGTAACCCCCATTGAAAGCAACTGACTACTGCTGCAAATGAAGCAGCTTCTCTCTATTATGGAATCTGATATGGGTCACATGAC